CTTTAGCAGCCGAGCCAACTTGCTGGCCCAAATATCAGCATTCTTAGGCTCAAAAGATCTAATTCTGCCAGGCAGTGGTGCACACCTTTAATCCCAGTGCTCAGGAGGCAGATACAGGTGAATCTCTGTGTTCGAGGTCAGCCTGGTCTACAGAGTGAGTTCTGGGACAGCCAGGGCTACACAGAGAAACCCTGTCTCAAAAAAACAAAACAAAACATCTAACTCTATTTGGTCTTATTCTGAGGCAAATTTTTGAAAAAGAAAAACCAATGAGTTAAAGAGTAGTAGCACAGATCTGGTGAGATGGCTAACACTGACCGTCAGCGTGCCAGATTATAGACTCACCTGGGGGATGAGTGTGTGGGCAGTTGTCTCAGTGGCATTAATTGAAGTGGGAAGACGCGCCCACTGTGGGTGGCACCATTCCCCAGCTGGAAACCCGGACTCTGTAGTGGATGTAAGTAGAGTGGGGAACTGAGCGGCAGCATGCATTCATCACTATGTCCTGGTTGTGGGTGATAATGTGGCCAGTGGCTTTGAGCTTTTGCTGTCTTGACCACCAAGACGGACTGCACTCTTGAACTGTAAGTCAGAGTGACATCCCTAAGCTGTTTTGGTTGGGGGCATTTTTATCACAACAACAGAAAAATAATCTAAAACATCCAGGGCTTCAGATTTCTGGGATAATACCCTCTTCTAGCAATGTAAAGAATACGCTGTTTAGAACACTAGAGGAGTTTCAAAGATTTATATCAGTGGTTCTCAACCTTCCTGCGACCCTTTAACACAGTTCCTCAAGCTGTGCTGACCCTCAACCATAAAATTACTTTGTTGCTACTTCATAACTGTCATTTTGCTACTGTTATGAGTTGATTGTAATGTAAATATCTGATATGCAGAATATCTGATATGTAACCCCTTTGAAAAGGTTGTTCAACCAAAGGGTTGCGAACCACAAGTTGAGAACCACTGATTTACATGGTTGCAAGAAACTTAAATGCGTGTGTGTGTGTGTGTGTGCGTGTGTGCGTGTGTGTGTGTGTATGTGTGTATGTGTGTGTGCATGTGTGTATGTGTGTATGTATGTTTGTGTGTGTGTGCGTGCGCGCATATACGCGCGCGCGTGTGTGTGTGTGTATGTGTGTGCATGTGTGTATGTGTGTGTATGTATGTATGTCTGTGCGTGCGTGCGTGTGTGCGTGTGTGTGTGTGTGTGTGTGTGTGTGTGTGTGTGTGTGTGTGTGAAGGTCAGAGGACAACTTGCAGGAGTTTGCTTCTCCCCTTCCATCATGTGCATCTTGCTAACCCATCATCTTCAGTTTTTGGATTTGTTTTTTTTTGTTTGTTTGTTTGAGACAAGGCCTCTCTATGTAGCCTTGGCTGACCTGGAACTCTTTGTAGACCAGGCTGGCTTCCAACTCAGAGAGATCCGCTTGTTTCTGACTCTCCAGTGCTAAGATTAAAGGCGAGCATCACCATGCAAGGCCATCATCTTCGTTTTTGAGCACGGATAAATTAGACGTGCCGAAGTACTCGCATCCCAAGCATGCCATTCTAATAGCTAAAAGGATCACACACCATCACCCCCAGGAGCCCTAAAGCAACCCTGAAGTCCTCAGCGTTCTTCTGTTGTTTTGGTGCTCTTTTTTTGAAACTTTGTATCTGTTGAAACTTTGGCTACAATCCTAAACCACAAACCTTGGTCAATTACAGGGTGTCATGATTACTCTGTCAATTTGCTCAACCCGGAAGAGACTCAGTGAAGGGCGTCTATATTCAGTTAGCCTGGGGCTGTGTCTATGAGATCGCCTTAATTAATTGATGTGGGAAGACCCAAACACCATTCCCCAGGCAGGGGAGTCCTGAACTATGTAAGAATGTGTGGTGGTTTGAACGGAAATGGCCCCCACTGGCTTAGGGAGTGGCATTATTTTAAAGGATTAGGACATGTGGCCTTGTTGGAGTAGTTGTGACCTTGTTGGAGGAAGTGTGTCATTGGGGTGGTCTTTGAGCTTTCAGAAGCCCAAGCCAGACCCAGTGGCTCACTCTCTCTTCCTGATGCCTGCCGATCTGGATGGAGAACTCTCAGTTCCTTCTCCAGCACCATGTCCGCCTGTGTGCCACCATGCTTCCCACCAGGCTTCCCACCATGATGACTAAACCTCTTAGCTGTTAGCGAGCCCCAGTTAGATGTTTTCCTCTATGAGAATTGCCATCATCACGGCATCTCTTCACAGCACTAAAACTCTAAGACAAAGGGAGAAACAGAGCTGAGCACCAACAAACCAGCACGCTGGGCTGGAGAGATGGCTCAGTGGTTAAGAGCACTGACTGCTCTTCCAGAAGACCCGGGTTCAAATCCCAACCCACATGACAGCTCACAACTGTCCGTAACACTGGTTCCAGGGGACCCGACACCCGTGGCAATACACCAATTAAAAAAAAAAAAAAAAGCAAGCAGGTGAGCATGTATGAATTTGTTTCTCTCTGCTCTTGACTGTGGGTATGTTGTGACCAGCTGTTCCCCACTATAATGGACTGTGCCTGGAACTGCAGATGGAGGCAAGCCCCCTTCTCCCATAAGTGGCTTTTTAAAATTGGTCAGAGTATTTTATCCCAGCAGCAGAAATTAATCTAGATCAGAAGTTCAGTCTATCAGCTTGCCACCGCTGGAAACCCAACTTGAAGGTGACCTCAGAGGGACAAACAGGGAGACGCTTCTTCTGGACAACTTGTCAAAGAAGGGGCCTGGGTGGGCCTTGAGACAGAGCTCTGGCCAGGGCAGAATGCAGAAGTAGAAAGGGATTCTTTTCACCCAAGACTCAGTGTTCTTAAAACATAAGAATTTAGGCTGGCTCAGGGGTTAGGAGAGCATACTGCTCTTGAGAGACCCAAGTTCAGTTCCCAGCATCCATGCAAGGTAGCTCACAAGCACCTCACTCCAGCTCCTGTGGATATGATGCCCTCTTCTGGCCTCCACAGGCACTGCACTCATGTGCACATACCCATACACAGAAACATACATATACACATTTTTGTTTTTGTTTTTGGTCTTTGGGACAGGGTTTCTCTGTGTAGCTTTGGAGCCTGTCCTAGAACTCACTCTGTAGACCAGGCTGGCCTCAAACTCACAGAAATCCACCTGCTTCTGCCTCCTCAGTGCTGAGATTAAAGGCATGTGCTACCACCACCCAGTTCATATATGCATTTTTTTTAAAATAAGAATAGATTCCAAGTAAACAGCTTAAGATCTACTAGGTCTTCTAGACTGCTCAGATGCTAATTTTGATCAAGAAAGTCGGCTTTGGGCACTGGCCCATGGCCGCCACTGTTTCCTCCTTGTAGTATCAGATCAGACCAAGTGAAAAGACCTTACTAAGAGGGGTAATTAAGCAGCAATGCGTTCAGAAACTGTACCAAGACAAGGGAGGAAACTAAAACCCAAAATGATACAGGGTGAGAGGCCAAACCAGCCTGTTCCACAGAGTCCTCAGCAAAGAGCAGGCTGGACCTGCCCAACATACTGCAGCTGGGACCTGAGGCAGAAGCCGCACTCTTCCCACGTGCTGAGCTGCCTGTTTCCTCAGAGTATTCGACTCCTGGCAGTTCTTTCCGACGGGGACAGAAATGTTCTCACCGGTCCAATAGATGACATGGCATCTCACATCCTTCAAGACTGAGGGAAAGACAAAGTGTTGGTGGGGACGGTCAGCTTGACTTGTGAATGTGTAACAGACTCCCGTGCTGACAGCCCAGGTAATGGAGAACCTAAGCCCTAGTTACCCTCCTGAAAAACACTCCAGGGAAGGACTGACAGAACTCCTACAGCTGAATCTACCCCTCTCCTTACTTTCTGACCTCTGTCTCATGGCTGTCTATAAATTTTAAGACTGCCAAAGCCGTGGTGAGAGAGACTAGGTCTTACCCTGGTTTGGCCAAACCATACATAGATCCATTCTCCTTGGTCAATCAACCTCTTTTTCCTGATTTCTCCTGGAATACAAAGAAACCAAGGTAGTGGGCTTTGGACCGAGTGTCAGGTAACAAGCTTGGCTCTTTGGGGCAGGGACAAGGATACCAGTGTGACCAGAGCAGGGGACAAGGTCTAGTAGTGAGGGTGGGCTCAGCAGATAAGCTTGTTCCTGGGGGACCAGGTAGGGATGTGGCTGTGTTCTGAGAGACGAGGAGTCAGGGTGGGGTCTAGGCACATGCAGGGAAGGTTCTGAAGAAGGTTCTGGTAGGTTGTGCGCGTGCGTTCCGTGCGTGTGCATGTGTGACTGGGTTTTATGAAGCTCAGACCGGTTTCCAACTTACCATGTAGCCAAGGCTAGCCTTGAACTCCTGATCTTCCTGCCTCTACCTTACACGTGCTGGGACTGCAGACCTGGTAGCAGGCTCAGCTCTGGTAGGATCCTCCTGATACTGTGGGGAGAATGACAGAAAATGAGCGTGGAAGCCAGAAGGCTAGTTGGGGTAACAACTTTGGGGATGGTAAGGGCAAATGGGGAGGTCCAGGGAACAAGTGCCAGGACTGGGGCGGGGGGGTGTCCAGCTCCACCTGGGTGCCTTTTTATGACACCTGGGAGAAAGTCTGCAGTCTTCCTTCTTGACAGACGCGTCAGCTGCTCTCAGGTAAGCAGAGGCCTGACCATTGATTGGTCTTTGAAAGAAACTGCTCTGGAAGCTAAGCCTGGAGCCTAGTCCTCCTGGAGAGAGAGTGTGTGTGTAAAACAGGCTAGGGGGCTGACTCTCTAGTGGAATGCCACCACAGGATCCAGGCCCTCCTGCGATCCCCACCACAGTCAGGACTGTGGGCTTGGGGCAGTCCTGAGTGGCCCCAGTTCCTGGCGGGGTGGACAGTTCCACAGCGCAGACCACAGGGACGGAAACACAGGTCAGGGCGGGCGGGGGATGGGCTGGGAAGTGTGGCTTGCAGGAAAAGTGTCGGGAAGGCCCCCCTGGTGGCTCTGGTTGAGTCTCCTCCTCTCCGCCCCCTCCCATCACCTCCGGGAGCCCGCCTCCTCGATCCCCTCTCCTTCCCTCTGCAGCAGCCGTGGCCAGCCCTCCCTTCCCGCTCCACCCTCTCCATCCCACGTTTTCCAGCCGGGCCCTTCGAGTGGGGGCCTCCGGGGCTGGCTGGACTGGCGCGCCTGTGGTCCGGTGTTGGTGGCGGTGACCTGTTGCCACCCTGCCGCCGCACACCCTCGAGCCATGTCCTGGGCCGCTCTGCTCGGTCTCCTGCTCGCGCTACTGCTGCTGCTGCTGCTGCTGAGCCGCCGGCGCGCTCGGTGAGTGTCCCCGGGACCCGCCAGGGTGGGGAAGAGACGCCAGGTGAGGCCGAAGGTTGGAGGTGTGCGACGGGGGCAGAGTTGCTGTTACCCACGCTGCAGCCTCCTCGGTGTTCCGCGCGCACTTACTTTAGACTCGCTCTGGCTCGAACCCGCCCGGGTGGGACTGCTGAGGCTGGACTCGAGGCCCAGCTACGGACACACTGACCCTGAGGGATTCTCATGATCCACGAGATACCCACTAGAGGAGAAACTGAGGTCCACCAGTCCCACAGACCGGGTAAGGTCGAACCAGATTCATGGTCCTTAAAAAGTGTGGTGTCTTGGAGACTCTGCCGTTTTGGAGAAACTTCTCTTTATGGTGGAGAGTTCAGCTGGCAGTAGGTCTTTGTGTAAGGTATTTTAAAGTTAATCTGAATAGCACAGGACCAGAAGATATTTGACTTAAACCAAGTACCCTCTCATCCTGAGTCTCCTCCCTCTCCAGGCCTTTCCTGTTGCTCAGTTTGGGAGGAACTTTCCAGATTTAAAAGAAAAAACACAAAACAAAACAAACAGACCCCAGACACATACACACTATTTCACACTGGTCTGAAAGCTCTGAGAAGAGGCAAGTGTTATGCACTTCCCTCCGGCTCCGCGGCTCACATCCGACATTCTTGTGGGATGTTTGTCTCATCTACAAGCCAGCCCTGGTCCAGGGCTGGTAGCTGAATTTCAGACTGCGGACTGTGCCCATCAGTCTCCTCAGTTAACTTTCCAGGGTCTGTCTGCATCCCTCTAGAGTCGTCCAACCCAACATGCCCCAGTGTTTCCACGACGGCCCCCTTACACAGACTCAGCTCTGGTATTACAGGGCCGCTCTGGTGTGTGTTTACATTACAGCGCCTTAAAATCCCAGAAACACTGAGAACCTTACATTTTAAACAACGAGTGAGTTGAGTTTTCCAACAGTCAGCTCATTCCAGGCACTTTTCCAGGTGAAAGTTAAAACTATGTGTTTGCTTATCTGCCCCCAAAGGAGGGAAGGAAAATTCAAAAGCCATTCTTGTAAGGCATAGCTGGGTGTCCTTAGCTGTCCGCTCTCTCTGCGTCAGGTCTGGTTTCAGCTTCCAGAATTTCTTTTCTCACACCAGATGCTAGATGTGACATCTGTTCATGCTTCAGTCCAGGTCACTTGGGTGCTTCCTTAGCTTTTTTGTCCATGGACTTTTTGGTTGTTGTGGGAGCTTTCTTTTTAGACAAATTTTATTTATTTATTTATTTGTGGTGTGTGTGTGTGTGTGTGTGTGTGTGTGTGTGTGTGTGTGTGTGTGTGTGCGTGCACTGCAGCACACATGTGGAGGTCGGAGGACACCTTGCAGGCATCTGCTCTCTCACCATGTGGGTCCTGAGGAGCCAACTCAGGACCTCAGACTTGGTGGCAAAGACCTTTACCCACTGAACCATTTTGCCGGCTGTTTCGATGGCTTTCTGTCTCACATATGGTGCTCCGGTTTGCCTGCAGGGGTCTGTGACCTGTGCTGTGCCCTGGAGCAGGTAGGACAGCTAGGAAGTGGATGGATTTTGTGAGGCAGGACATCTGGGCTCGGGCCATTCTCCCAGCAGGAAGGTCCCAGCCTGTGAGGCAATTTAGTGTCCTCTGCCCCAGTTTAAAGTGACGATGACGATGACAACGACGACGGTGTCCTGGGGTGGACACACTCCTCTCAGCAGTGCAGTTTGGTCTGATTCTTGTCTGACAATCTGAGAGTGCCTTTACTTTGGGATGGAACTGTGGTTTTTGAATCTCTGGGTGTTAGAGAAGATGCTTAGTGTTGTACAAAGAAACATGGGAACAGTGCAGAAGCATCCCGGCAGGGTTCCTTTTCCAGAAAGGGCTGCACCGTGACCCAAGCCAGGCTAACAACAGCAGCCACTTGTCTAGCACTGACCATCTCTCTGTCTTTTGTTTCCAACCGTCTGGACATTTCAAGACACAGCTCTGGCATGCTGTTAATTCACACGAGCCTCCCAGGTCTGGCTGCCTCAGTCATTTCTCAATGATGTTTGACGAGTGCTGGAAGCACATGACTGGGAAAACCTGGGTCCCCTCTAAAAACCAGTGAAAAATATCATACAAAGTGATATGTCAAACATTCAAAAAATCCACCATGGTGAGCTGGTATTACTGCCTTAGTTTGATATAAAAATGCGTTGATCTTCTCACTGGCGGTGGAGGCTCCCATTTCTGTGACCACATTAGACATCCAGCAAAACCAGAGAAGGACTGGGGCCTGAGGCAGAAAGCCTGTGGTATAGGAAATTCGAGGGGTGCAGTGATGCTCCAAGGACTCAGCGATACCAGGAAGCTTTAGGGGTGCCGCCATCTTCCCTCATGACATGTGGTTGGTTAATGGCCCTCACCGTCTTGATGTCACCAGTCAAGATGACAACTAAGTCACACTGTTGCCTCCATTTTGATGAGGTCACCAGACAAGATGGCAACAAGCCTCGGGGTTACTTTTCGTTTACTATGGCCTTAGCTCTGAGAGGAGTGAGCCCACCCACACCGGGATGCAAGTTCCTGTGGGATCCATGCATTTCATAGGCTCAGTATGGACTGTCACCCCCTTTTATTTTTTTCAAATGAGCATCTGAGTCAGATTAGCTTTAGGATAGAGCAGCAGAGTTACCCCCAGTGTGTGTACCTGGACTTGCAAACTGAAGAAACGAGGAAGGAATTCTGTGGTTCCCAACCTGAGGCAGGGAGTCCTTACCTTGCCTCACCACAAATTATAACTGGGAGTCAAACAATAGCATCTGGATGTTTTGATGTCCCCTGGGTTCCTAGGTACATGCTGTTGCTGGGCTGGGAGTCCATGAAGGAAATGGAACACCCAGGAGGTGTGCCCAGTGCCTGTAGGGGGCACCATTTCTCTGGAAGCCTATGAAGAGACTGGGCTGGGAAAAGTCATCTTGGTGTTGTTCTATCACATCTGAGTATGGCACGGCCTGGGACTGCTCTGTGACCTTCTTCATACTGGCAGAGATTTTTTTCTTTTTAATTTTTATTTTATGTGTATGTGTGTTTTCCCTGAATGTATGTCTGTATACCATGTATGTGCCTGGTGCCTATAGAGGCCAGAAGAGGGCATCGGATCTCCTGGAACCACAGTTACAGGTGGTTGTGAGCCATCCTGCGGGTGCTGTGAACTGAACCTGGGTCCTTTGAAAGCAACAAGTGTTGCAAACATTGAGCTGTCTCTCTAGCCAGCATTGGCAGGAATTTAGGTCCTTGAGAAATGAACTTGTTAAAATAGTTAATCCTGATTTAAAATATTGGGAGCTGTGTGTGGTGTTTTTATTAGTCAAAAAAGCAGCTGCCTGGGACCATATGGTCCAAGACAGTGTTGGATCTAACCACTCTAAATGGATATCTCCTCTCCCTTTCCCCAAACCTGATCCAAAGTCTCCTGGGTGCTCTGAGGAACGGGTTGAAAAGGGAAAGACAAGAGAATCCCACACCCAGAAAGGGGAGACAGGAAGTTACACTTAGAGTTTTGAAGTCTCTTGCATTGTTTAGTCCCTCCTTTGGTGGGCAAGGAAGGGATGTTGAATGGGAACTCCTGGGCTGGCCAGAGGAGTTGGTCCCCTCCCATCTAGGGGAATGTATTTCCTTTCCTCTTTCTTTCTTTTTTTCTTTTGCCTGATTATTTTACATTCCAATCCTTAAAGATCAATCCTCCATTCTTGTATTGAAATACAGAGTCCATTCACTATAATATTTTCCTGGGCCCTTCCCTAAATTGCTGAGAAACTTTTCATTCTGGTATTGTTACTGATCTGAAAGAGTGTCATTTGCCGCAGACCCTGTGGGCCCCAGCAACAGGCCATGGGATGTGTCTTCCCCAAAGGAAAGGATCCAATCTCTCTCCCAGATGGATTTGAAATCTAGGATAAAGCTTAAAATAGTTGGAAGAGAATAATCTTGATGTCACACAAAGAAACACACCAACACTGTGAAAGTACCTCGGCAAGGGAATCTCTTTTTTGTGAAAAGCGTGTGCCATGACCCAAACTGGGCTAGCGAGCATGCCAGGGCAAGGCCACTTAGTGTTTTTTTTAGTGCAAGTCATGACTGTGTCTTTTCTCCAGTGCCTGGGGTCCGAACTCACAGTCTTTTACGATTGTGTAGTTTTAATCAATGCAAAGGAAATGAGGGAATGGTGGGCTGTCGCCAGCTGCTCCAGGCCATGGAGTTCTGGGAGTGATGTGGTCTCAACCAGGGGAGGAGTTGCAAAAGAGTTCCCTAAAAGTCTTCCAAGGTGGGGGAGATTTATGGAATATTGGCCCTTGGTGGGCTAGCCAACTTCTTCTTCTTCTTCTTCTTTTTTGTTTGTTTGTTTTGTTTTTTGTTTTTTTTGAGACAGGGTTTTTCCTTGTAGTTTTGGTGCCTGTCCTGGATCTTGCTATGTAGACCAGGCTAGCCTCGAACTCAGAGATCCACTTGCCTCTGCTTTCCAAGTGCTGGGATTAAAGGCTTGCACCACCGCTGCCCAGCCTATCCAACTTCTTATAGAAAAACAAAACGAAAAACATTTCTCACATGAGCATCTGGGAAAGTATTTGAGACGGCTTGGGGGAGACATGGGTATGGGAGATCTTGGCCACTGGGGTGGCAGTAGGACCCCTCTCACCTGCCTAAAGGAATTCTGGTTACTCCCTCAGAGAGGCCACATAACTTGCCCAAGTTCTGCCCTGGTTAAGACTCTGGGCTACAGGCATTTTCCATCCCGGAACGATGAGTCTTTTCCTTTCCCCTCCGTTACTTCGCTGATCTGAGCACTCAAAAATCCCAGACGATAAGATCCACGGCTCTGAACCAAACAACCCCATGGAAGGAAAAGACAGACAGGCTTTGGAAGGCGAGCGCAAAGGCGGGACCCAAAGTCTGGGTGGAAATACGCAAGGCTCTCCTCCACCCTGCCCCATTCCTTTCTCCTGACCAAACCTGGGGT